ATAGTAATACAAGGATTACTGGTGGTCTAATCACTTTTGTTTTCTACAAGCATCCGACTAATTCAGTTCTATGTTAGTTAGGGAAGATTGGGATATATACTAACTATTGTAACTAAGCAGATTGATTAAACACTAGAAAAACGGTACAAACAACAACTGAAAACTAACAATTAGAATTAGTGAGAGCAATAGCCGACCTCAATGATTGTTTAGTTTCATTTGGATGTTGACGGACGAAATTCCTTGAAATCCTTTGAACATCGATTTTGCATTTTATTCTTCGGATTCCAATCTATTGTTAGGAATCTTGCTTGTGGCTGTGGGTTAACGAAAGCTTTTCAAAGTGAGGGTATGTTCCATATAGTGGCCCCTTTCCTGGGAATTCGTTAAATGCATAACAGAGAGCCACTAAGTTTTTTTTTTTTTTTTATTATTGGGGCTGTTTTGAATTTTTTATTTTCTCCAATTTGAATAATTTGATCTTTCAGATTTTTGAGATGAAAATAAAACGATTGTTTCAGTCCTGAGAATTAATCCTGAAGAGGAGCGTGAATATTTTTGGTCTGAAACAACATTGCTAGAGTGTTTAGATGGTTTTTTGGCTATTGTTGATCTGGATGGTATCATCCTATATGTTAGCGAAAGTGTTTCCATCTACCTCGGACTTACACAGGTATGTTACATTTTTCTTTTTCCAAACATAAAGTGGAACTTTTTTTTTGCTTTCATATCCAACTATTCTAAATAAATTTGATTCAGTGAAGAAGAAATAGAAAGTTTGTATCTGTTATTCTTATAAACTCTGTGGAAAATTTCTGATGTTAAAAACCAAAAAAGTAAAATAAAATACTAAAATTCATTAACAGAATAGTTGAAGAGAAAGGAAACATTAGAAGAAGCTATGAAAAGACAAAGCTCGGTACCATAATATATTTATGAGACCATGCTTTCTCATGATTTATTTGTTAGTGCAACTGTTGTCTGTTGGAAATGGTCATAGAGTTTACCATTTCACAATTTGCCACTCATATTTCTTCGCTAATAAAATCACTGGTCTACTAATAGAATTACAAAAAATTTGCTGTAGGAGTCCAAGGATCTAAACTTTTTTCGATGCATTTCGTTAATGCCGAACGTGTGTTTCCGTGTGTTTTTTTCTTACTTTTTGTAAGTAATAATATATATAATGATGTTCTTGAATAATGTATTTAATTATAATCAAAATAATTTATCTTTCGTTTTTTTGTTTTTGAAATACAAAAATTCATTGTTTCGTTTCCTTTAAAAGTGTCAGAATTTCAGCAAAACATAATGTTACGCAACAGTTTCAATCGAAGGAAGGATGGATGAGGGGAAGTTGCCAAATTTGGTTGTTAGGTTCAGGTGCTGGTTTAAGTGTAGAATAGAGCACTAAGACTCTGAAATTGTTGACGTGAGTCATACGTACGGTAAAGTTGTGATTGATGAAGAATGGCATAGTTTGAGATGCTAAGCTCCATTTGACATTCCGCTGCGTGTCTCTTAATCTCTTTCGTTTTTTTTTTTTAACTTGGAGGAGAGTTACCAGCCAAAAAATTGCACTTGCAAACATAGAGTTAGTTAATACTACGTAAGTCAGCATTCCCTAAATTGTTCATCATTGCACATTGTACATTAAATGGTTGAATATGATAAATGTAACTTGTTCTGATTCATTAACTTATGGGTTTAAAATATTTAATTATTGGGTTTACTTTGATCTATGGTTCAAAATTTTCCAGACTGACCTTACGGGGCGTTCATTGAAAGAATTTATTCATACCAGTGATTACGAAGAATATGTAAGCTGTGATACTGGGAGTGCCACCGATCGTGGATGTGGTCGAGTATATACCTTGCGAATGAAATCAGTGATTAGTCCACGAGGCAGAAATCTAAATCTCAAAAATGCTGTATTCAAAGTAGGTTTTAACTGATATTAAGTGATGAGGTTAATTACTAGACGTAATATTTTTTCTTGTTCAGGGTTTGTTTTCTGTTGATTAGCAAACCATCTTTTTTGAGTTCTCAGGTTTGGCTTCTTAATTAGATTAGCTGGTTGTGTAGGCCTATACTGATTTTCAATCTCGGAAACAATAAAAATGTTTATTTACTTCGGAAATTATGTGAAATCAACGTTTCTGCTTTTATACATGGTAAATGATGAGTAGAATAACTAAAAGCATATCGAAATCATGATAAGTTAGTGAATATTGTGTACTACTGTAAATATTAGTCATAACTGAATTATTCAGTAAGTGACTGGGAGACACAAGTTTTCACGTAATATGGGTTGCGGTCGTGGTTTCTGGTCCGTTCCGAGAATTTGATCAAATCTAAATTTCAAATGAATTTCTTTAGCCAATCATTTGCCATATTCGCTCACTGTCCGCTGAGAATGGACGTGTTCGTATCATACAGGCTAGTGCACAACCAGCTGGACAGGGTAATGGCGTTTTTGCAGCTTCAAGAAATGCCGAGGTACAAAATGGCACTTACCTGACGCGGCATACCTATGATATGAAATTTTCATATGTCAGTGAAAGGTTTATAATTTTGCGTATGTTAGTGATACATTTGAAAGTTTCGCGATCAGTGTTTAATTGAGAAATGAAATGAAATGAAATAATGAAAGTAGAAACGACAAATAATAAATATCTCAAAATAATTATATCTCTTAGAACAAACTTACTTGTTCTTTTTGGTATTTCTATAACCTAACCACAAATTGGTAGTTTGAGGTACTGCGGCTGCATTTCATATTTCATTGCACTCGAAGGAGTAGTGTATTTTATTATCTTTAAAAAAACTGTAACTGAATTAAAGAATAAAAAAAATTATTAATTTATAAAAACATTATGAGCAGTTTATAAGTTATTAGCAAAAATGAGTTTTGGAATTAAGTTTGATTACATTGCTCACAAACTGGAAAACGATTATGAAACAACAACTACACTTTTACAGTACTACTTTTTTAAGTTTCAACTATATTCTTCGTCATGAGTCGCGTTCTTTAATGGGTACCTCGTTTTACAATTTGATCCATCCGGCCGATCTTGACGTCGTGGTTGTTTCGATACGTGAAATGCTCACAAAAGGTCACACACGGACACCATACTACCGTTTAATTGGTCTCAATAAATCAGTGTTATGGGTGCAGACCGAAGCAGCTACTGTAAATCATACAACAAAGGGACAAAAAGGACAGTATATCATCTGTTTGCACCAGTTAATTGGGTTAGCATTTAAATTTCAAGTTTCAACAATTTTTTATCTTCTCGACAATTTTATGAGTTTTTTTTTTCTTTTAGTAATTTTATTATTGAGTTCCTTAAATTGAAATAAAACAATTCACGTTATCCGGTTTTGCCTCTCTTATTGCTTCTGTTAGCTTTCTCATCTGTATTATTTTCAAATGAATTTACGGGACTCTCAATCAAACATTTAAATGAAATTGCGTTTGTTAAGAGAAATTAGATGTAGTAAAGAAAAATACATTTGTTGCATAAAATATTGATAAGACACAATATTCAACATATTCAACAAATCTGATCTGAATAATACTAAACTGAGCAGTGAAAGCCTAAAACCTAAAAGAAAAATATTTCTTGTGTAGTAAAGTTGAGTTAGACCAGTGATAAATGAAAAGTTTCCTAGCTTATCACTAATGCGTTTAGTCTTGGTAAACCAGTGTCGGCGAGATATATTGCTGGGATTCAAACATTTTAGTATTAGAAGCTAATTTATTATTCTTTAAGAGAGCACGCAATGTATTTGATTATGTATGAACTTCGTCTAATTATAACGCAAATGTGCATTTTAAGTGAACCCTTCTATTTAAGGCATCAAATTGCTAAAGAGCTTCGCTGTTAGTTAGGTTTATTCATATAAACAGTTTGAGTTGCACTCATACAATTATGATGCAGAAAATTCTTAATTTAGTGAAATAAATTTATAAATTAAAGTACGAAATAACTAAGAAGTCTCGATATCTCATTGTTGAGTAAAGGTTTAAATTTCTATTACTTTTTATACAGATTTAAATGTCTTTCAATCTTTCATCATTATGACTTAAAATTAACTATAAATCTATCATTTGATAACAAAATCATGTTTCCATATCAAAGTGATCATGTGATCATGTAAACTTTAGTACGCAAAGTGAGCGAGATTCGTTTATAAATGCAAATAACAGCAGTGCATCATTTTATCCGGCGCCAATAAAGCAAGAAGTGACAGAAAGCTCGGGTGCGTTACTTTTTTTCCTTCCTTCTTAATTTTTATGATTTTATTGCTCATGAAGTAGAATTTACCGGGCTAAATAACAGTATTAAGACAAAGGAAAATTATTTTTCTGCCAATGATTGCGTAAAATGTTGCTCTTTTATTGTTTTTTTCTTTATTTCGTTCTTTAATAAATTAAAGGACGCATGACCTAGTAAATCTGTCACCCCTTTTGTTTTCATTCTATGAAAAGGACTGAAGCTACGAAAGTTTACCACTGGTCTTAAAGATTCCTGTAATTATTGATACAGTGAGAAGTTCAAATACCTTGAGCTAAATTTGTTGTTTGGTTGTTTGTTCAGCACCTCAAATTATAAAGCTCTGAACGAGTGGTGATTAAATATACGCTCCAATAGATTTCGTGCAGCAGTATTTTTTGATTTAATGGTAGTCAGCACCATTAATTTAAATGGATCGTTGTATGGTGGATTGCTTACAAATGCACTAGTTAATTTAAAAGTTAACTTAAAAAATTACGCAGAAAGATAGCAAATTATCAAGTTTTTGAAATGAATAGTAGCAAAATCTGGCTAAGTTCTTGGAGTGAAACTTGATCTCGTTCTTGATTTCATTTTATGATGTTTTACCTTGAAAGATTTTTTGTTCATCAGTCATATGTAAGTAGAAAAATCTTTGCAGAACCAATGAGGAGCAGTTACAATGAAGTATTACAGTGGCTTTTTCGTGCTCAGCAAAGTAGCAAATCCCCTCCAGGATCGTTACTTTTCGGAAATGAAAGCAATAAAAGTATGTACTTCATATGTGCTATGTACTATTTGTATACTTATGTGTATTTCATCCTTTTTTCGATGGTAGAATATTCCTTGTATTTTTTCGGTGGATGCTAAATTGAAGATAGGAACTAGTGTTTCGCACCTTTGACATCAAAAATGATATTGCAATTATTGCGAAACGCATGAGTTGTGCATTGCAGATCTGTAGATATGTTTTAAAATTAATTATGCGGATTTTTTTTTATTCGGCTAAAAAAAGACTGTGATTTATTATCTGTAGCATGTCAAAAAAAAAGTATTCATAACAATTCGTTTATTTGCTATCAATTACTTTAATTAATTATTTAAATCGTATTTGCTATTAATTACTTATTAATTAAATACATATACTTACAATAGCCTTTTTCTAGTAATCCTTGTAAAAATCAATGAATCTCAGTGATTTTTTTTTGCTTCAATTTAAAGGTTAATTGATCTATGGCTGAAGAAATCTTTCGTTGATTTTCACGGATTTACAAAAATATTCCCCCAATTTTCCATAAAAGTTCCTGCAAGATTGGTACTCAACAATTAATACTTTCTTAGTTGTTTTTTCCAATTTCCAAGGTTTTGATTTTTTTTATTCTTTTTTTTTAGTTTGGTTCTCTGCCAAAATTAGCGCTAATTTGCAGTTTTTTTTAGATCGTATCGAGTACAACAGCGAATCAACAGCAACACGAGTCGAAATCACCAATTACGGTACAAAAAACGGTATTACAGTATCAGGTGCTAGCAATTATGTTTATGAAAACAATTCGAACAATGCATTTGTACATAACGGTTCGTTTTTAACAAGCTTCCTAAGTTTTTTTGTTTTTTGCCATTATTTTTAACCATTAAATAACCATCTGGTTATCAACCCCTTTAAAACATGTACCAATATGGAGTTTATTTATCTGATACTGCTTTTAAATTCTTGTCAAATCCGCATGAATAAAATTGCCTTGTCATCAAAATGAAAACGTTGGAAATTACCTGTAGTAGAACAGGTATCATTTTGGTAAATCCCACATCTTTTTATTTTCATTCTCATTCTGCTTACCTTTATTTCCGGTACATTTTATTGAAATTTATTTAAATTTGTGAAAGTGAAAAGTAAAAGAAAGTATGTATTATTTGAAGTCTCCTGGAAAGTTTAATAAATGAATTAATTAAAAGCAATGAATCTTTCGATCGGTAACATTATAAGTGGATCGGGAAGTCAGTTTTTGAATCTATTTTGAGAATATTAACAATTTTGCATGTTATGTTGAATTCGCGCATGCAAATTTTTTGAATCCTTTTTCAGGGAATGGAGGAGCAGAATTCCATGCATTTGCTACTGAAATTGACCGATGTCGACTACGGACAAACAATGTTCGAGCAAATTGTGGTGGAGGACCAACTAATGGAAATATACGTAATTGCACTAATCATTGCTTTCAAACTGATTTTTCAGAATCCACAACAGCAGCGATTTTAAACACTGTACGATTATCTGCGGTTTCAACAGCCGGTAATACTTTTCATTATTCTAAAATGTAGAATGTCCATCTGTTTGGTTACATCATTGCTTTCCTCAAGGGTATATACTGGGAGTGGTGTCATGAGGTTGAATCCAAGTGTGATATTTGCTACTTGCGAACCTTTACGAAAGACCATGCGAAATTTGGCAACTTCCTCATACAATCTAATCTGTGATTGAATCAGGCAGGTCAGCTCAACCGCTGAACTATATTGTGGCTCCTTCTCATAGTAATGCCTCGTAAAATCATGTTCCTTAGACGGCACGATTGTTAGAGATTCTGATAATCTTTATGTTTAGAGCTATTTACCTCTTTTATATGATTGCTGATTTCCTTATTCTCTTTTGATATTTGGCCCGGGGATCTGATTCTGAGTGCACAACACTTGCAGTTAAATTGCTTGATAATTGCTCCTTTCTTTTTGCAAAAATTTACTGGTGATTTAGGAACGGGAACTGTAAACTGAACATCCCCGAAGTTGCCTGTATTTCTCAAACAACATTATAAAATTCATGTTTTATCATTCGGAGATTTTTTGAAAACAAAGAAAAGAAATGTGTCGTGATCAAAATAAAACGGGGGGACGGAAATATACGGAGAATGGTGTGAGGTTTTAAAAGATTACTTTCCTTATGCAAAAACAAGGACTGAGACAAAGAAAAACTTGTATATATTTATAGATGCATATTTACTGCCACAAAATAACATTAATACTGGGGCAACAACTGTAACTGCAACCGGACGAAGTTCAGGCAATATTTTCCCTACTTTATCTACTAAAGGTACTCAGTATTCACGTTCCATGACATGCTACGATCCTTATCTTAACAACAGTATTACTGCTGCTACAGCAACCTCTTCTAATACCATACTTGCTTTCAACAATAATTCCATCCACATGCAATCAAACCTGTCCACAAGTCCAATGAACTGTACTACAGAAATTCCACGAGTCGCTTATAATAAGGAAAATGGTGGTAATGGTAAGTGAAAATACTCTTATTTTAAATTTGCCTTGATTAGTCACAGAGACAAGCAGATTTTTTCGGTGTGCATGTTTTGAGAATATACCCTTTCGTTCTTCGACTTGGTCATTCAATGTTACTCTCTCATTTTGACCGAAATTTCAGATACGATAGAAGGTACTGATGATTGGCAAATGTTTGCACCGTTTGTAGCCCATGATGACATGATGCAACTGTCAACGGACTTACAGGGACTTTTACCGGACTTTAACTTTGTTGATTGGATACCATCAGATCCAGCCCCACTACCAAGTTTACCTGCAGAAGAAAGGGTAAAATAAAAAATTGGTCAAAATCGGAAATATAAAGGAAAAGGAAAATATTAAAAGTTCGCAATAATGAGTTGAGAAAAGAAGGAAAGGATTATGACTGAGATTGGCAAAATTTTGGAGTAAAAAGTCTTCATATATATTAGTTTTTTATTAAATTAGTTTCAAAATTATTTTAGCTTGATTTATTTTATGATGTTTTAGGGTATGACACTATTGGGGAATGTGTCGATACCGATGCAAATGGCATTCGATCGATCGAATATATATGCAAATTCTAGCATTCCGCTTCTTTCAAAACCAAATACTCGTGGTCTTCCTGGTAAGTTTATTCGATCACATAACCTATTATAACATTTGGAGCCTCAATTCGAGTAATAAAATTCTTTTCAGCTACTCCATGGCGCCAACTTCAACAGCAGAATCAGCAATGTCATCAAGAGAATATGAACACTGGAACAGCAACAGCGACTCCATGGTTAGAAGTAGAACTTACAGCAACATATACTCGATCTAACGATTATCCTTCTGGAATGTTTCATCGAAATAATTCTACTGCTTCTATGCAATAATAGCAACATTCACTCAGTTTACCTTTGAAGTTACTGTAGTAAGATAAGCCTGAACTTTCATTGACAGGTAGGAAATTTCTTCGCACACTTTCCTGTATTTAACGTTAGCATAATTTAGTTCAATATTACTTACTGCTGTTTTTATATAAAATAATATGAAATGAGTGTTCGATTTTATGTCCTCCTTATGAAATATATTTATTTAATGCCTTTTGTTACTGATTTTTACCACTCTCAGTCTCTTTTCGACGGGTCGGCTTTGGCTACTGTTATTACTTTCACGAAAGCTGGGAAGCATGCCTAGAAATCTCCTGCATTGAAATAATCGAAAGATTCCGACAATTAATTTAGAAATGCTGGGGGAGTTCTCCGGATACTCCAGGTATTAAGATTTTCTATTTGGAATTCTATCTCTTTGATTTAATAAATTGCTGAAAGTATACGATAGGTGTCATATGTTGATGCCTTTCATGGAAATGTTTAGTTATGCATTTTGGTGGTATACTTTCCGGTTTTCAATTTTTTATGCTCCCGTTCCATCTTTCCCTTTCAAAATTTTCCATTCAACGATTTCAAAAAGTATAAGTTTGTTCTTTTTCCATCTTTGTTTTTCCTAATCCACTTTGGTTCGGTGTCAGTGAATGTTTCTTATTACTACTTGTTCGTTATTTTGAGTTCGGTTCTTGCCTTTTCTTTCATTCTTTTTGTTTTAACCGGGTAGCATGCCTTTCTTTGTCATTTCTTTCAAATTTTAACCATTATGGTTGTTTGCCTGAAATTTTTTGCTATTATCATTTCTCTTATTCATTGGGTATAGCACAAAATATCGGGATATTAAATTATGTGTAGTAGATTGAGAGCATTCTCGGGTGCTATGTAGTTTTGATAATTCTTTCGACTGAAAAAAGCTTTATGCCTCGGAAATCATGTCATTTAAGTTAATGGAATTTCGAGTTTCTCCAAAATTTCCCATCTTGATTAAAAATTATGGCTGTTTTTGGTAAAGAGTGTTCAACCAAATTATTTCAGTTATGAATTTCGAAGTACATTTTCCAATTTTGAAAATGAATCTCTTTTATTATCACTTCAAATAATCCCTGAAATTAGTGAAACAGCGCAGAATTTATTATTTTCTTTTCAGTTGAATAGTTTATTTTTTCTTATGCATTATCATTTCAATTAAAAAAAACGAAAACAATCTTTTGAGTACATTTATGTTAATCGCTAAATTTGTTTTTATATCATTCATCTGCTATACCCAATATATTGCAAAATATTGCATTTTTTTTTCCTCAAGTTGCCAGTTTAGTGAAGTTGTTATTTTCCATCAGCTAATTTGTATTTGTATTATCATGATTTTTTTTTCTGTTTTTAAGAAAGCTAATGTAATTACTCATTTGGTATTGTAAAGAAAAAAAAGTGCTTGTAATAGCATCTATTATTTTGTCAAGTTTTTATTGTTGAAAACTTTTCATATCCGGTATTTATGAATTTGCCACACACATAGATCCGGTATACCTCAATGAAATTTTTGTTATCATGTTCGTTTGTTTCTTCATCCCTTTCTTCCTGTTGAAATCAGCGAATAAAACGTTTGATTGTTATTTCATCTCTATGATATACATTGTTATTTCATCTCTGTGATATACATTATGATATATATTATATGCAAAATGTTTGATTAATATCTTTTTTCTTTTACTTTCGAGGAAACCAATTTTTTTTTCCACTTGTCTAAATTCTTTTTTTTTCTTCTGATGATTCAATTATTAAATAGTTTACTCGTTATTACTTTTGTATGTCTCACTAGAGAGACTAAACAAAAGCTCTTTAATATACTGGGAAATTTTCTGCAATGTACATGTCAAAAAAAAGTTTTAAATTATTTTAGAATTCTTCGAGTGCTTCTCTTTTACAATTTGATGATCTAATCTACTTTGAAATGACGAGAAGACTTGATTTTATATAAATCAGTTTTGTCTTGGAGCTTTCCACTGTTAGATATTTCAATTTTAGATGTTTAGATATTTGGTGAGGTTGGTAGTCAGAAAAAAAGAATTTAGTTATGGAAGTATTTAGTGGAAAAAAAGTCTGTCCTGGAATATTTGGTCCATGATTTCGGGATTTGTTTTTTTCAGCATCCAAATTTTGTGTGGAAAAAAAGGGAAAAACTTAACGGTTAGAATGCGTTATTGTGTTACAATGGGTCGTGGTATGGAACCGTTCGTGAGGAAACAACTGGAACAAATTCAGGTAATACATTTCAATATCTCTACCAATGTTTCCTGAATGTTGGAGAAGAGGATGGTGAAAACGTCGTATCTCGACGGATGATATAACAGAGATTCGTGGAAAGTTCAACTTCGCTGAGATATTATCACAAGACCAAATGGTCTAAAGCAGTGTTGCAGTAATTAGCAAATACATGAACTGGTGCCATTTACGTTGGCATCGAAATATTGACGTTAGATCATGTCAGGTAGGCCATCTTGTCTCACTCAAGAAACATTGCATCATCGAACGGATTCTGTTGTTGTTTTGGTATACAGTGCTATTGTCACTCTGGTATATAGTTGTTCTGGTATATAATGTTATTGTGCTGAAACATAATAATATTGATTATAAAGAAGTGGGAACTGAGATTAATTTGGAACATGAACTGCTAGAAATAAATCATTTTTATCTTACTTCTAAATATCACTGAAAGAATATAATTGGCAATGCTTGCAGGATGTGAAAATTGATGAAATTATTATGGAAGGCAAAATGCTGTTTGATGCGAGCAATTCCAATAAACTGTACAATTTACGGTGTGTGGAAAGATTGTTCATGGTAGCAGCTTTCGAAATGATCGATCGCAGCTGGAATAAGCGACGTAAGTAATTTACCGTAACTTTTCATTATTTTATTGTGTTACTAGTACATATATGGGTATTTTCTTGAATAAGAATAATTCATATTTATAATTTTGTATAACTTGTTTTGGAATGTTGCATAATTTTTCTGCTTTTAAGAGCTATTCGATAAGCTGTTCAGTTTGTGTGGTAGGAATTCCAATTCCTCGTTGAATTCTACTTGTGAAGCAGCTTTCAATTCTTTGCTTTGTTGTGAAGAGCCAACACATAGTAGAACTTTCCGTGTATCGCTCAAAACAACTGGAAAATGGCGCCGGAAAATTGATACTGAGGTATTCGGCAGAAATGAATGTTTATAGTCATTTGTTTGTCTTAAATTAGGTTGCTATAGCTTCTTTCTTTTATTAGTGGCCTTTGACTGCTGCAACGTTTCCTTAACCATGAAATTCATAGAATAAAAGCTGTACGGGAACCGTGATAATATAACTTGGAATTCTTTGTCCTTATCAGACTTTGTCGATTCTCTTATGCGACCATTCAAGAAATAGATTTCGCGGAACTTTTTCGACTATGTGCCAAATGTGGTGTGTTAACTTTTAGCGGAAACTATTCATATCATTCGTTAAGTCAAATATTTTAACAATTGATGAAGATTTTTTAACCTTAATTCTACAGAAGCTCTCTGCAAGTATTGCTCGTCACATCAAACAAATGTCTGGTTTCAACAGTTCACTTCATTTTGCTGCTATTGAAATTTGTGTACATTTGTCAGAAAAATACATCTTCATTGGTATACCGATCACTCGGTTAGTATATAAATGATTACTTTTCTTATTTTATCGTGGCAAATGAAGAAAAAGAGAAATCTAGTTCCAAACATTTCACTATTTCAATATATAATTTAGAATTTATGATATAACGCGCTTCAGTTCAAAATGTTTTCTTGCCTCTTCTTGTGAAAATATTTTTGAGTAGCAGTACTACATGAAACTTGACAGGAGCATCTTTCAATCTGTTTGCATGTTTTAGCGTTTATGACAGTATGTAGTTCAACATTTTTATTACATTCCATTTTCAAATTGCAGAGAACGTTTGTCTCAGCGACGTTATTTGCTGAACAATTCACTGCGTTCAACAACAGTAGATGCTATGTTATCCATGGCCAACATTCAAGATGGTGACATTGTTGCTGATCTGACATGTGGTTCTTCTTCTATCTTGTTGCAAGCAGCACACGATTTCCATGATAGGGGAAGCTATTTTCTCAATTTCATTAGAAAATTAGTAAATTAAGAAACTTTCTCTAGGTATTCATTTTCATTTCTTCCAACAACACAAATGAAAAGCTTTGAATACCTTTTAGTGGGATGGGAATTCCTGAATTGAATTTTTTTTCTGAGAAATTCATCGTTGTAATTAATCCTGAATCGCATCGAAAGTGGGTTTTCGTTTTAATAAAAACAAAAAATGAATTTGGAATTTTATTTCATCTCTTATGGATTTTACATCATCCCTTACATAGATTTTCCATTATCATATATCTGTCGTTCTGCGAATGATAATTCATTTGGTTTTTTGGATCTTGATACTTTTAGGTTTTTCTTTTGGGTATGGATTTCTCTTCGGATGTTTTACAACAGTCATTGCAAAATTTGGATTATTTACGGAAAAATTATAATGCAGAACTATCAATCGACCTAATTTGCATGGATTTATTTAGCGGTGGAATTTTACTACATTCGTATTATCTTTTGCTGTGATATATCTGCAGCTATGCACTAGGCATAACCGAAAAATATATAGGACATTGAACAGATGTTGAACAACTTTATTTGATCCGCTTCTTGTTAGGCTGTGCTGCTGGCTTAAATCATTCGCCATTAGGTGGCTAGCGCGGGTCACTTCAGATAGTTTAATCAGCGTTTTTTGCGTTACATTCCTCCTTGATTCGATATTTTTTAAATGTTTTCCCTAATACTTGCCAGTCTGAATAAACTAATTTGCTTTTCATTTGTGACAAATTTCAAATTCAAAATATTTTCATGCTAATGTATATCTTATGATTAGTACGACATTTTAGACTGTTTGAAATATGCAATGGTTGATCACATTATATCAGATATTCCGTTTGGTCAACGCTATGGAACGGATCAATCTGCCTTGCGAACTTTGCAACGTATCTGTGACATCTTCTCGAAGCACGTTTTTTTTTTTTCTTGTCTCAATTTTCTCTTCAAATTTAATGAAATTTGGGGGATGTCAAACTTGCTGTATGGATGGATAAACTACTTGTCTTCCTTTTAATAATATTAGTCTTCGAAATACTTGTGTAAGTCTTTATTTGAATTGGACAATGATGGACTACATTGTCTTAAATGAATCGACAATGGATAAAATATGAACGTTTTATTTATTTATCCGTCAAACACCGAACAGTGGGGTAGTTTCGGTAAACTAATTCTCAAAGTGTGGCGTAGATCTATTTTATAAATTGTTTCGGT